ACGAAGTGTCGGATGCCCACTTCCTCCAAGAGAGCGGTCTCGTTGAACCATGCTCCTTCTCCAACGTAGAGCCGGAGATCCTGTCCATCCCGACGAAGCCCGGTGAGGATTTGAATGTTCTCCTCATTCAAATAGATGTCCACCCCGTTGACGTTAGAGATCAATGCTCCGTCCTCATCCTTTTTCAAGTTCGAGTAGAAAGCTCGAACAAGAAAGGGTTGATAATTGACCTTCTTGATGTAGAGGAGATCGAGGAAGTTTCCACGTTCGAGGATAATCCGTGCCTCACGTGGAATGGAGTCATGAATGAAGCGGGCGGTGGAGAATCGGGGAGGGAGAATTTCCCGATGCTCAAACTTTTCCGAGAACCGCGTCGCCTCTTCGCGGTCGTTGAACCAAAGGAACGACCCGTCGAGATACTTGTGCACCGGTGGTGGAGGAGCCGAAGAGGAAGCAACGTTCTTGCCGGTGCGGGAACGCTTTCTTTGACCGCCTGCCATTGCAACAAGAGAGGAGAGAGAGATTGCAGAAATTTTTGAAAAAAATGAAGAATAGGAGCAAGAATGATGAATTATGATGAATATATGGAGAAGAGATAATTGGAATGAGTAAAAATGGAGTAGATATCACCAATATATAGTGGAGGAGGTGTAGAGATCCGTTGGGATGGTCAAACAAGGCATTAACTGCTCTCCAACGTCTCTGCAACGGTCAGATTTTTGAAAAATCGCCGTTGATAATCGATTTACACTCCCTGTAAATCGATTATCTAAGGCCTCAGATTCTCCGCCAAAGAAACTGCAGGCTTCAAAATCGATTTCTGCCTAGTTGTAAATCGATTGTTGTAGTTTGCGCCTGAGTTGCCTTTAGCTTCTGCAGGCTTAAATAATCGATTATCTTATAGTTGATAATCGATTGTTGCTGGTTTGTGCCTGACTTTTGAGAAAGTTCTGCAGCCCCTGATAATCGATTATCTTAATGCTGATAATCGATTGTTGGCTCCTTCAGTTTCTTTGCTCCAACTCCTGTGGGTTATGATAGTCGATTATCACAAGCCTGTAAATCGATTGTTCACATTCCCCCTGACTTCAACGCCTACAATGAAAATATTTTGGTACCCGTTTGGTCTTTTGGGTCCTTGAGGATTAGTAACACGACTTTTTAAACGGATAAACACACGCACCCATAATCACATACACATGGTACGCAAACACACACACACATGTATCAACACGCGTGTTTAAGTGTTACCTTGGCCAACTCGTCGTTTTGCGGTTGGCGGGTTCCAGTCTACTCGAACCGAATGTCTA